ATGGTTGGCGTGCACTGGATCGTGCTACAAATATATGACGGGGTAAACGGTGCTGCGTACCCCCTCCTGGAGACCACCACAAGAGACAGATTCGACCACGTAAGCAAGCACTCGTGGGAGCTCATTATACTCCTGGGAAACCAAAACAAGAAAAAACGTCATAGACGTAGGATAGGATGAACTTCGTACTTCGAACAACGACTCAATATATATACAGGGGGACAACAATGCTGGGGCGGGTGCTGGGTAATGAAGTACTGAGTGCAGCTAACTGCATTGAGTCGGCGGTGTAAAGCATAAAAACTGTTGAAGCATCAACGCAAACAGGCTCTATCTGGCTCGGGTTGCAGTTCAGTCTTCGGCCAACAACACTTGCCGCTTCGGTCGTTTTTTGTTTTTTTTGCATCGATCGCGCTCCTGCTGCAGGGCAACCGGCTGACACACATACCGTACACGCTCGCTTCGGGCGTAACCTTGACGACTTTTTTTTTTTTTTTGGAAAATACATGTGAACTCACAGAAAGACTACCCGTTCGAGATACAACCACACAGCAGTCGAGGGATGTGCCAAGTCTTCGTTTTTCTTATTATGAGCATCGACCGCGATACAACAACCAGCTGACACGCACCCGGAATTATGCGAATTGTTCACCGGTGCTGAGCGTTTGCTCCCCTGGGTGCAAAACAAAAAAATCGCCACGCACGCCCCCTTCTGGATACCTAACCTCACAACGGCTCTATGGTCACGGAGACGAGAGGTTCAACCCTCCACAACACCACACGCGGGTGCGATTCGTGTGAGGTCAGCAGCGCAAAGTGGGTACATGTGCGCTGTTTGTATGTACAAAGGTTGGCGTGCACTGGATTATGTTACAAGTGGTATATATTCCGAGGGGGGGGTAAGGGTGGAGGTGTGTACGTGTGTACCCCCCTTGGGAGACCACCAGTTGACCAAGTAGCACGTAGGTGGCACGTGGCAAGTGGTACACACTCCGCTGTGGGAGATCATCATACAGCAGTACAACTTGGCAATGATGTATGTTCCAAAAAAACAGAAGTATGTTGCAAACAAACACCGTCTGAGTCATTTGTACCTGCAGAAGGTATATTGTTCTTGTTGCATGCATACCAGTATTGTACGTAAAATATACCATACATCCTGCTCTGTTGCTGCCATCCTCCTTCTGCTGCGGTGTAATTACTGCCTCTGAAAGGTGTAGAGACTGAAGTCCTGAACACACTACTTGTGCACACCGCGGGGGGGTGACACTGCACTAAATAAACACTTGTGGTGATTTAGAATAGAACCTTGGGGCCTCTGGGATCAACATGCTGGTGATGCAGGTGCTGCTTTTTATGTATCCTGAATCAACTGCATTTTTGGGCGGTGTACCGAGCGTAAACCCGTCCCCTCAAACGGGGCTTATCACATGATGGCCGAGCTCCCATGTTACCATCCTGTTTTGGCTCGGGTTGCCGATCGATCCGCTTCGGGCGTGAACTTGAGTTTTTTCGAAACACCCGCGCAACTCCGAAATTTTGCGAATTTCCGGCGGAGCTACAGGGCTTGCTGCGCGGGCAAAAAAAATTGCCACCACACGCCCTCGTATTATTACATCGTATCATATAACAGGAGTATACATGTGTCCACGCACAACGGCTCTTTTCTTCCCAACGAAAACCGCGACGCCGTCAGAGGGCCTCACTTGCTCGCGAGATCATTTTTCAGAAAATTACGGAGCGAGACCAATAGCGCACCATCACACCACCGCACGAGCACACCAGGCTCGCACGCTGGACGCACGGGTTCGGGTGACAGAGACCGAGGCTACACCCCGCGTCGCGAATCAAAGCACACCATTCGGGAGGCCCCTCGCGGGCTACTCCGAACTGAACCACGCTGAACGAACCGCTTGAACGTACCTGCGTGCTGCGCTACTTTTGTACCGCGCCAGCCGTTTCTTTTTTGTTTCTCGTTCTGGGCTCCACCGCCGGGTAGACTTGCCAGAACGCCTACAACAGGACCAGCATCGGCAGGCAACGGTGGCCACCCACCGTGCCACTGAAAGTGCTGTCTCGTGGTGGTGAGTCCTCGCCCATTTTTTTCGTCTCAGGGGCCAACGACAGGGGCGTCTTGCGGAGAACGACACACACATACCCAAGTTACCCCGAATGATTTCAAAAATAATGATGAGGTCAAAGAGCTTTGCTACCGTGAGGCCGCACGCCCTTCTCAACATCGATTGGACAACCCCCCCCCCCCCTCCGACTCCACATACCTCTTTCCGTGTACGCAATGAACGGCCCATAGCGCTGCCTCTGCCCCTCCTCCCGTGGTGCTAGTGTGGGATGTGGGAGTTGATTATTCGTAACGGCTGCCGGGGGCCTCGCATATGTAGCCCATCTCGCCTGAGATTTCTCGTCCGGGAGGACCCCGGCAGCTTTGCGAGCTGCTGGCACACAGCCACCACTACTGCTGCTGTACCTCACTGCAACCGCGAAGTGGTTTGTACGATGGTGGCGTGGCTCAAGCTCGACCGAAGGTCTCCGGTAAGGGATGACGGGGGGGTTCGCTCTTGGATAGCCGACCGACGCTGCTGTGGCTGTGCGTTAGTGTTGACCTACATATTTTTGCACGCACATGTGTTTCATGTCACATTGCCCCCGTCAACGACAAGCACACACACGCTCCCAGGCGCCCACAGCCCATGGCGTTGTTGTGCTGCACACACATTGCTGTTTGGCCATCAATGCAGTGCGGGTTGTAGTGCACTCTGCACAGCTACATTCAGTGTTCCTGTACCGTATGTGGCTTACTGCTGTAGGATACCACACCCCCTGCTGGACCGAGGTTCAAACCTCGACTCACCGCTGTAGACTACTGTTGACCTCCATGACGAAGAGGATGAATAAATGGCCCAACACGTTTTCGGAAAGCTCTCGACAAGACGGCTCCATTTTCGGCACCGCCACTCTTTCTGCTGTGAGGAGAAAGTCGAGCTTTGAAAATGGGTCCAGGGGGTGTGGTATCTTACGTCACAACCGTAGTCTACATATTGCCGAGCCAGACATCGAGCCGAAGGAAACGTGCCGCATGTTTCCACTCTCTCTTTCTCTCTCGCCGGCGTTTATAAAGTTGGAAGAGTGTGCATGCCGTTCAAAGGAACGTGTGTACTCTCGATATCAAGGCGCTGCGAATGGCTAGTACTTTCTGGTAAGAGTTACGGTCGGCTGCTCGGGCGACGTTGCGGGTGCGGTAAGTCGATGTATCTACATACCTTGGAGCTGTTCCATGATTATCGCTCCGTCACACACTTACCGGTTTGACTACATGTAGTACTCCTGTACCCCAACGAAGAAGCCGTACTGGTACGTGCTAGTTGCATGTGGTTATGGTACTGCTGCTGTGCGTCCCTCGCGTGGTCTACCGCTACTACTTGTGCTTCACTGCTCAAGAGAGTGGCAGCGGCGTTCTTGGTGTGTCATATTCACACAAACTCTCAACAATTTCGCTGACAAAGTCGCCTACCGTAGGTGGCATGACGTTAGATATCACGCACCCCGACCCGAATTTCAAAGCTCGATTGCTCCACAGCATAAACAGTGGCAGTGGCACAAATGGCGGCGTGGTAGCCGTCTAGTCGAGAACTTCCCGGAACGTATCGTTTCGTTCACGGATCGTCTTCATCGTGGAGTAATCCAGCTTTGAAAATCGTCCAGGGGTTATATACCTTGTGTCACCTGCGGTACGTTCAGTCTTGATGCCCCTCCCCCCCCCCCTCCCCTCCGTCTCCATCCGGCCGGTGCTATACTGCCCAATTTTATTTTGCCGCAGCAGGGGAGACTGACAACAGCAGCACGGATAAGCAAGCGATCTACAGCAGCGTGCGCTGCCGTAGCGCTCCTTCCAGGGGCAATGTCCTTTCTGCGCGCCGCCGGTCTTGGCGTTGGCGGAGGTAGCAGCTACTTCGGCGGCGGCGGCGGCGGCGGCGGCGGCGTTTTGCGCGCTACTAATTCGAGGTTCTACGCGCACGCGCGCTCGGTGGCGGGGGCGAATGGGGGTGGTGGCGGGCAGGCGCAAGCGAGGTGTGGAGGCCAACGGCAACAATAGCGTGTACGGAAACCATGCGGAAAAGGCTGCTGGATGTGTACACGTGTGTAGACCGTTGGCGGGAAGGAGCACGCGCGACAGCAGCAGCAGCAGCAGCAGCAGCACGGCTCATTCACCCCCCAGTGTTTTTTTTGTGTTGTCGTTGTGGTCTAAGCGGGGGGTTCTCTGGGCGGAACACGCCGGAGGCCCCTTGAAGGTTATTTCAATCTCGGTGCTCGGGGTGCAAAGCGAAGTAGGCATTACGCCGTCGCACCATTGACAAGCGACTTTACTGCCGCTGTGTGTAACATTTTCGGCGCGAGTGCGGGAGGGAGTGTGGACGGGGCTGGGTATCTAACACACGTCCGACACGAAAGGCGATGTGTACAACAATGAGGCGCCTGGACGCACGACCCCGGAGACACGAAACCCCGCCTGTGTTCACCAATACCGCCTCTGCCACACGAGGCTCACTCACGAACACCCGACTGCTGCCTCCCCCTCGCGAAATCTCGAGACCCCCCCCCCCACAACTCCCGAACAGCGCTCTGACCTCTGGAGGACGCGTGGTCAATGATCTAGCAGCTCTGAGGCATGCAAAAATTGAGTACCCCCCCGCAACCCCCCCAAACTTAAAAGTACATTTACATGCTCCGCGGGGACCCCACCGACAACACCCTTTCGTTCCCAACAGGCACGCAGCCGTTGCTTTCCGCTGGCGTGGTGGTGGCCGCAGAGGGCTGGCCATGGTCGGGGGGGAAGGAGGCGAGGGTTCCGGCTACGATTTCGCGAAGCGGGCGACGCGGTTCGAGAGCTCCTTCGCGGAAGGGGACAGCGCCTCTGCCAAGGGTGCGGTTCCGGTGACCGTGCTGCCGGACAAGGCAAGAGAGTAAGAGAGGAGGAGGGGGGGGGGGGGGCGTACTCTTATGTTTTGCATGCCTTAGCGGTTAGACCATTGACCACGCGTCCTCGAGAGGACGGAGCATTGTTCCCACAGGACCGATCACCGATGGTCAATCGCTCCTTCCTACTTTGCCAAAGGTGGCTCAAAAATGTCTTCCCTAGTTTGTCTATCCTAACGATATCCCTTCCCGCCTGTTCAAACCACTTCCTACTCCCCAGTACAGCTACCGTCCTCTCTCCTCTATTCCATGCCTCAAGCATCTCCCTGTACCTCCCTTGTATTTTTCCCAGCTCAGTCATGTACACTTCCCTCTCCTCTTCGTACCACGGACATTCCGCGACTACATGAACACGGTCTTCGCATTCGAAGTCGCAATCACATTTGAACTTGTCGTCTTCGTCGTCTACCGTCCTATGTCTTCGTCGACGTTCTCGAAGGGTTATGTCCCCGGTCCTGAATTTGACCTTAAGCTTGGTCCCTGCATCCATTGGTCCATGTAGGTGGTCCTTGAACCCGATCCGTTCTTTCAACATTCCGTACACTTCTAGACCCTCCTTATCCTCAGTTTCTTTCCTTAGATTCTGTTCTTCTCTCTCGGCACAAGCAGCAGATATCTTCTCCTTGAGCCTCTGTAGACCCTCCGTTTCCAGCGATTCATCTTCGTCGATATCGAACCCCTTCCATACAATCTCTACAACCTTGACCCATTCCGTGGGTTGTCTACCCCTCGTTTTGTTTGCCTACTTCGCCTCCCATACTATTCTCGGCAACCTCTCCTCTCCCATCCCGCACATGCGATACTGCCATGTCAGCTTCCTTACTTCTCTTCCTGACCGTAGGGATTGGATCCCCAGTTCTGCCCTGACGGCTGCATTACTTGTGCGCTTGGGGCATCCTAGGATGATTTTCGCTGCTTTCATCTGCGCCGCCTCGAGTTCTTTCACTGCCTTCTTATTTTTCTTCCCATACTTGTCCGGCGTACTCTAGCGGCGGTACGGGGGGGGGGGGGGGGGGGGGGGGTGGGTTTTGGGGGTTCCGCCCGGGGGCGCCGCCGCCGCCCCGGGGGGGGTTTCCGCCGCTGCTTTTATGGCCACCTTTCCGCCGGATCTGGGGTTGGGGGTGGGGCCGGGGAAGTTGCTTGGGTTTTTTTCCCCCCCCGGCCGTTTTTTTCCCTTTTGGTGGTGCCTTTCCCGGTGGTGGGAATAACTGGAAAACTGGGTTTTTTCCCGGGCCCCCCAATCCCCGCCGGGGGGTTTCCGGGCCCGAAACCCCC